ATTTCGGTCATTTTACCCCCTTCTCATTATAAATCTTATTTTATTTCACATATTTTCGTAAAAAGCCAAAAAGCTTATCCCAAACAACTAAGTTTTTTTTTATTTACATTTTAGCCAAAAAGCCAAAAAGTTACTAAAATAGCCTGTTCCCAAACGAGGCCATATACTTCTCAAAATAAGTCATTGTGTGAAACTAATACTATAAAAAATTAACCGAGGAAGCTGGGGATTGAGCTTTTTAAGTAAAAAAAAGTTAATTCTACTTTCTTGTTAAAAACTAATTATCACTTTGCTTGTTTTTAGTTTTTTAAAAACACTTTTCAAAAAATTTACTTTCTTATTTTTTGTATTTTTTTTCGTTTTTAATGATTTTTTTAATATTTTAAGTAATTTTTTTTTTTAATTTTTAGACACACCTAATATAAATACACATAAAAGTATAATTTTTGTGAAAAAAATCTTTGAAAAATTCACTAAATACTAAAAATATAAAAAATAAATACGAAAATTCAATATATTTTTCATATTTTTATGTATTTATTAATTTTTTAAAATATTTTTTCATAATTTTTTTATTTTTTAGATACATTTAAGTAAGGTGCATCTAAAAAAATGACAAAAATGTTTAAAATTTTAAAAATATTCACTGAAAATAAAAAAATATAAAAAATTAAAAAAACTCAGTTTTTTAAAAAATTAATCCAAAAAACTCAAACCAAGCACGCACAATGTGTTTTGAAAATTATCAAAATTATATATATTTTTTGTGAACGAAATTGCTTTTCGTTTTTTGTTTTTTGATTTTTTAACTGGTAATAAATTATTTTTTTGATTTATTTAGTAAAAAAATAATTTTTAAACTGCCTGCCAAACACTTCCTAAGAAAGTGGCCGGACCCATCAATAGAGACTAAAACCAGCAGATCATTCACTCTTGACGTACGTTGCAATATTCTGACCGATTTCAATTTCACAAGTGATTATTTCATGGTCTTCAAATATTATTTTACACTATTTATTACTTGATATTTGTTAAGATATTTTTTAAAAATTTAATAAAAAATATTTTATTTGGTTTTAATTTCTGATTTTTTTTTATTTTTCATATTTTTTTTTGTTTTAGTGAATATTTTAAAATTTTAAATATTTTTTTAAAATTTTTTTAAATGTACCTTACTTAGATGTATCTAAAAAGTAAAATATTTTTAAAAAATATATTTTTAAAAATTAATAAATACACAAGAATACGAAAATATACTGCATTCTAGTATTTTTTTTTCATATATTTATGATATTTAGTGATTTTTTTCACAAATATTATACTTTCTAAATATATTTATGTTAGGTGTATTTAAAAATTAAAAAAATGGTTAAAATATTTAAAAAATTCAGCAAAAATAAAAAAAAAATACGGAAAATAAAAAATTTTAATTTTTTGTAAAGCGAATCAGAATTCTAAAACCGAACAAGCTTTGAGTTTCATTTTTTCAACCAATAAATATTATGTTGGGATATCACATAAATTTGCGCCTGGAAGAAAAAATAATTTTTCCTATTTGGCATGGTTACCTAAAATCAACATTAGGCCCCTTTTTTTAATATTTTTTTATAGACTACAAAAATCAAATATTTTTGTATATATCTATGTATTTCATTACATTCCTCCATATACTGGTGTATGAATTTATACTTTTACCCTTAAAAAATATATAAAAAAAAACACATTCAAATAATAATAAATAATTTTATCAACGTGTTTGTGTGATAGTAGAGGTGTTTCCCTTCCAAGGTGTGAAAGTTTGAGTCTTATTACTGTAAATGCAGGTCCATTACCTTTTTCCCTTTCCTTCTTTTGACCAAAAACAAATGTGAAAAATAACTTTTTTATTTTATAATTTTAAAATTGGAAAAAAATGTTACTCAATTTGATTTTTATGTTCACACCAACACAGATAGATATTTCCTTTATAATATATAACCAGTTGTGCATTGCATATTAGACAATGATAAGATGATTAGAGAACCACATAAATAAAATAAAAAAAATCAGTTTTTAAAAAATTTAAACCGAACACATTGAATATTTTTTTTGCAACTTTAACCTAACTGCCGGTTGAGATGGGTTTGAGTGATTTTGTATTCTCTTAAGTAGAAATGTTGCAATATAAAAATAATGAACCGAAACTATTAAGTTGTGAATAAGAATTGTCTTATAAAGTGGGGATCAATAAAGTTGAGCTTAGATTTGGACTTAATCTTAGTTTGAACTGGACCTAGGTTTGTGCTTGTACTTGTGCATGTGTTGGGTTTGGTCTTGGACTTAATCTTGAACTTGGGCTAAGTTATATTATGTTAGGCTTAACTTGTGCATGAGTTCAAGAATTGGACTTGGATTGGTTATAACCCAACATTAGTATCCATTTTGTGACCCATCTGGTTGGTTTATTCAAACATCATTGTGTGTGTGTATATATATATATATATACATATATGTATATATTAAGCACATGAAAAATGTAAAGTTTTGTAACTTTTATCTGTTGATGATGGAGTTGATAATCATATTAGTGGCCATATGTTTTCAACCTTTGTAACTCTAGCCCTAATGGCTAGAGTTGATGACCTTGGTTAATGGCATTCGATTGCCTTATAACTTTCATGACTAAGGATTCCATTACTTGTATAAATAGAGGCTTTTCCCATCTAATTTGGTAGGATAATTTTGGAAAGATTTTTTTATGGAAAATAGAGATGGTGTTTTGAGATAAAAATTTGGAGATGCCTTTTTTCAATGAAGAAATATTTTCCTATTTTCTTTTGCTAGCCCTTCTTTGGTTCTTGTTAAAGAGAGTGTAGTCATTGTCAAGTTCGCTAAAACTATTCAGAAAGTACTTCTGCATTAACTGGTTTCGACTGTCATATTCTGAGAGACAGACGTTGGCATACCTCCAGCATCTATTGGAGCGAGGTGAATCTGTTTTAAGAAAACTGTGGTATCACACAGGTTTCGATTTGCTTCTTTTCTTATCATTTGCTTTTAAATTTTTTAAAATTTAGTTTGCCTCGATGAGTTCTAATATTTAATTATCCATGTTAATAATTTGTTCTATTAGTAATGTAATCTATTTCTATATTTTTAGTTGTGCTGTTTATTCTGTATTTCATTCTTTAATAATAAAAAAAAATATTTTGTCATTTCTATTTAATTTATTTTATATATTTTTCTTATATTTTTATGAAAAAATACCAAATAGTAGGGATGAAAGAATAACCGGAAGGACCGACCAAACCGACCGAACCGACCAAACCGAACGGTTTTCGATCGGTGTTTTAAGTTTTCAAGTGTTCGGTTCGGTTCGGTTTTTGCTTTTCTGCACATTCGGTTCGGTTTTCGGTTTTTGATTTTTTTAACTGAACCGCACCGACTTATATAATATTAATAAGCCCAAAATGTGAGGCCCCAAACATATGTAGGAATTACATGGCTTGAGCCCAAATTTTATGCAAAATGGATTGAAATATAGGCCCAAAATGTGAGGCCCAACTAGGGGAAAAAAAAAAGCTAAAAAACCGAAAAACCGAAAAAACCGCACCGCACTGTAATAAATCGAACCGCGCCGGTTTATGTCATTTTTCTGGGCGGTTCGGTTCACAAATATAAAAAACCGAAATGATCGGTTCAGTGCAAAAATAGTGAAAAAACTGACCGAACCGAACCGATTTCACCCCTACCAAATAGGCATAGGTATCATATATAATTAATTTTAAAGTATTTATTTTGGCTAACATTACATGATGACATCTTTCATAAAATTCTTTAACCATGTTGAGTGCCATCCATGCCATCATTTGATCATTGATCATCGATCATCTATTGTCTCCCAATTAAGATGCCATAATGCATAGCAACAATTAATTTAAATAATATTTTTTTTTATATATAATGATTTGATTGGGTTTTAACTCTACAACTTTAAGACAAAGACTCAAATAAAATATTTTTAATTACATAAATGATACTGTCATATAATTCAAATATAAAATTTATATAAAAAATTTGGTAGAATACCAGTTGTCCTTAATTTATGCATGTGATATACATTATTTATTCATTTGCCCCTATGGGTGTGTTGACTTTTCTGAAGGGTTGACTTGTCTGCGCAAGCGTGTGCTTAATATGTTAATCTGAGACAATTTACAAACCCTAGGTTAGAGAAACTTCGAGTTGGAATCATAACTTAATACAAGGGGCACTCTGGGAATTTCAGCTGTTCTTTTTCACACTTGGATACTAAAACAAAACCCTAATCAAATTTTCTGGATAAAAACTCAAACAACCACCAATCATGTGAGATCAATGTGTGTGTGTATATATACAGGTGTGCATACTTTATGGGTTTTGTTCAAAATACGTATTTGCAAATTGTTTGAATTTTTTTAAGATTTTAAGTTAAATATCAAAATGAAACTTTATATAATTCAATTTTTAAAAATTTGAGATTTTTGATAATAATAAATTTATTTTTTTTGGATGAATCATAAGCGATCAACTAAGTGACATACGAGTGGAACCTGTTTAATTTAAAAAATGTCAAACTATTTTATCCGAAGTTTTTGTATAAAGGGCTAAGTTTTGCTGCTGAATCTTGATTTTGTGTATTTTTGTACTATATGGCCATCTTTTGACAATGTAACTTGCTTTTTTTTTGTACAAATGTAAAACTAGTATTTGGTAAAAATCATTGTAGAGGTCACATATACAAAAACAATAATATTTTGCAATTTTAGCCATATTATAATTTTGTACAAAAGAAGAAGAAGCCAGAATACTATAAAAAAAAAAAAATGTTTGAAAAAATAATATGCTTAGATTCAAGTAAGTATTTTGACAATAATGCATATAGACAGAATCCATAAATGGCAACTTTGTTTTTTGAAAATAAAATAAAAAGTAGAAAATCAAAACCGAACCCATCTATAAATACACATCCATACCATGTGGGGCAAAAACTCATTTGCATATTTTTTCACAACCAAAACAAAAGAACAAAGAAGAAGAGAAGAAGAGGTGGAGAGGAACAATGGGAACTACAAAAAGTGAGTTGTATTTTGTTTTCATGAATTACGATCCTGAATATGATCGTCTTCGATCTAATCGGTGAGTTTTCTCTAGCATTATTACTTCATTATGCTCTAATTTCTATATCTTAGTGTATTATCTAATGACAATGGTGTCTCTAATATTAGAACAAAGAGAGGATCAAATGAGCTTGATTTGTACTTGAGTCAGAAGCACGATGTGTTGTTGTCGTCGACACTCGAGCCTGGAAGCTACAAGAAGACATTTTCTTTGGTTATTGTTGATGGCTTTGCCGTGGAAATCACTGATGATCAGGTGATCTCTACAATGATATATTGCGAGTACTATTTTGTTGTATATATATATATATATATATAGCTACATTTAAGAACTATTGAAAGTTTGATTCATTTTTGGTGTGTACAATCAGGCAAGTGTGCTTAGATCTGCAAAGGGAGTGAGAGTTGTGGAAAAGAATCAAGAGCTTGACTAGTTTTGGAGAGAGAGAAAAGGGCTTGGAAATGGATGAAAATGATAATGTGACTTTGTGTACATGTTTTAGGCTGGCAAGAACAAGGGAAACTTTGTATCTCTTGATTCCATTATTGTAATTCAATGTATCTAGTTTTTGAAACTTGCAAAATCTCTCTCTCATGCTTGTGGGCTCTTGTCCACTGTGCCAATTTTTTTAGCAAGCCTAGAATCCATGACAAAAAAAGAGTAATAATATTCAAACCCCAATTGTAATACAAAAAAAATTATATAGAATAATGTCTTGATAAAGTCTATCACTTTAAAATAAAATATGAAAAAAATCATCAAATTGTTTTTTTTTTTTTTTAATTTACAAAAAGGCTACTCTTACATCATTCTACGAATGAATTTGTACAAAAATTATTGAACAAAAAACATTCTCTGTAAAAAAAATTCATCCAAATTCATTCTATGAATAGAATTTCACTATACAAAAATCGAATTTGAACCACATTTATTTTTATGAGTAAACTTTTTTTTATTGCAATTTAAAAAAAAAAAAAAATACACTTCAGTTTGTTGACCAAGATCAAGTCTTCAAAGTTTGGTGTGTTGACCAATAAAGTCCACATTGAAAGGGTTTTGAGGATTGAACTGTTGGGTAATCAACAAGTTCATATTCAGGCCCCGTTTGGGTAAATTTTTTTTGACTAAAATAATTAAAAATTTAAAAAATTTAATCACATCTCTCTTTAATTTTTTACATATTTTTTATAAAAAATTAAAAAATTAACTTAAATAGTCTATTCTCAAACAGGGTTGAACGTACCAAAATCAACTTAAAAGTTTTACTCTAATATTACAAATGTGAAAATCATATGAAGTTGGATATTTTTTAATCAGTAAAATAAAAAATTTCATTGCCTCGAGTCTAGATTTTGGATTGAATGGTACTATTTGGGCTTGTGGAGTCACCACAGGTCTCATTTCGATAATTTGAATTGTTCATTTTGTTCAACACTTTGTGTATTTTTTTCTACACAAAAAAATAAGTTGATCCAATAACTGTAATTCATTCAATTTATCGCATGTTTAACCCAAAAAAAATTATGATTTATTTTTAAAAACATAATATTTTTGGTTAAAAACGTAATAAATTGAACAAATTACAGTTATCGGATCGATTTAATTTTTTGTGTAAAAAAAATATACAAAATGCCCAACATAATATACAGTTCGGATCATCAAAATAGAATCCGTGATGGACCTCACAGGGCCAACAATACATGCCAATCCAAAATCTGAATTAGAGGGGATTCTCCTCCTTTTGTTATATGTTCATGCCAGAATTTTTAGTTAAACATTTCATAGCTGGGAGATTTTTTTTTTGGGATTACGTAGAGTATTTTGAGCTACTTTACGCGCACTAGATTAGGCCTAGTTTGGCATGTTCAGGAAAAGTCAAAAAGTCAAAAAGTTATTTAAAAAGTTAAAAAGTTAACACTATTCACCAAAAGTCAATAATTACGGCTGCACAACTCCCAATGCTAATTTTCTCCTACAAACTAATTTTTACAATTTTTTATTACATATTTTTCCATAAAAAGTCAAAAAGTTAACCCAAACATCTATATTTTCTTGCTCAATTTTTTAGTTCAAAAAGACAAAAAGTGCACTTATTTAGGACACCCCAAACAACCCATACTTTGGAGCCACAGATCACAAAGCTTGTTCGGACTGTAGAGAATTTGAACCTAAGACCTAAATGAGAGCAAATTTTCAAGCCCCAGTCATCACTCCATTAGGCCAACCACCCTCTGACTATAGTTGGGAGATCTTTAATTAAAGGGAGTTGATAATTTCAAAAATATTCTAGTCTCACGATTATGGACTGTATGGATATGTTCATGCCAGAATTTTTAGTTAAACATTTCATAGCTGGGAGATTTTTTTTTTTGGGGTTATGTAGAGTATTTTGAGCTACTTTACGCGCACTAGATTAGGCCTAGTTTGGCATGTTCAGGAAAAGTCAAAAAGTCAAAAAGTTATTTAAAAAGTTAAAAAGTTAACACTATTCACCAAAAGTCAATAATTACGGCTGCACAACTCCCAATGCTAATTTTCTCCTACAAACTAATTTTTACAATTTTTTATTACATATTTTTCCATAAAAAGTCAAAAAGTTAACCCAAACATCTATATTTTCTTGCTCAATTTTTTAGTTCAAAAAGACAAAAAGTACACTTATTTAAGACACTCCAAACAATCTATACTTTGGAACCATAGATCACAAAGTTTGTTCGAACGGTAGAGAATTTGAACCTAAGACCTAAATGAGAGCAAATTTTCAAGCCCCAGTCATCACTCCATTAGGCCAACCACCCTCTGACTATAGTTGGGAGATCTTTAATTAAAGGGAGTTGATAATTTCAAAAATATTCTAGTCTCACGATTATGGACTGTATGGAAGATGAGGGAACATGGAAAAAGGTTTAGGATTTCTATCCTCGAAAATTGTTCATCTCTTGGTCTGAATTCAATTAGACATATAATCTAATTGTTATAAATAAATTGAAACATGCATACAGTTTTTTTTTCAACAAATATTTTGGCCATAAAACAGACTGAATAGCTGTCAATTTATCAATTTCTTGAGAAGACTGAACACTCAGTTCATTTAACCTAACTTTATTAATTTATTAACATTTTACCTATTATAACTCTTGGTATTTTTTCATAATAATATAAGAAAAATATATAAAATAAAAATAACAAAATAATTTTTTATTATTTTATTTAAAGAATGAAATACAGAACAAAATACACAGCTAAAATACATAAATAAATTAGATTACATTACTAATAGAACAAATTATTAATATGGATAACTAAAGATTAGAACTTATCTTTGTAAACTAAATTTTTGAAAAAATAAAAACAAATGATAAAAAAAGAAACAAACCAAAATCTGCACTAGACAATTTCCTTAAAATAGATTCACCACCTCCCAATAGATGCTACGCCGGTGTCTGCCTCTTAAGATACGACGGTTGAAACCAACTAATGCAGAAGCACCTTCTGAATAGTTTCGACGAACTTGACAATGTTGCACTCTCTTTAATAAGAACCAAAGAAGGAGCTAGCAAAAGAAGATTTTTTCTTTTTTGCTAACCAGAACCAAAGAAGGGGTTAGCAAAACAAGATAAGAAAAATTTTCTTTGGTACCAAAAAATATCTCACTAAAGATTAGAACTCATCTTTGTAAACTAAATTTTTGAAAAAATAAAAGCAAATGATAAAAAAAGAAACAAACTGAAATCTGCACTAGACAATTTCCTTAAAATAGATTCACCACCTCCCAATGGATGCTACGCCGGTGTCTGCCTCCTAAGATACGACGGTTGAAACCAACTAATGCAGAAGCACCTTCTGAATAGTTTCGACGAACTTGACAATGTTGCACTCTCTTTAATAAGAACCAAAGAAGGAGCTAGCAAAAGAAGATTTTTTCTTTTTTGCTAACCAGAACCAAAGAAGGGGTTAGCAAAAGAAGATAAGAAAAATTTTCTTTTTTGCTAACCAGAACCAAAGAAGGGGTTAGCAAAACAAGATAAGAAAAATTTTCTTTGGTACCAAAAAATATCTCAAACTTTTTATTTCAAAACACCACTTCCATTTTCTATTAAAAATCTCTCCAAAATTATTCTATCAAGTTGGAGGGAAAATGCCTCTATTTATATAAGTAGGGGGAATCCTTGTGAAGGTTATAACATCAACAGGGCTATCAAATGCCATTAACCAAGGCCATCAACTCTAGCCATTAAGGTTAGAGTTACAAAGGTTGAAAACCTATGGCCACTAATATGTTCATCAACTCTATTATCCAAATATGAGAGTTATAAAACTTTATATTTCTCATGTGCTTAATATATACAAATAAATACGTATATAATGATATTTGAATAAATTAACTAGATGGATTACAAAATGGATACTAATGTTGGGTAACAACCCGATTTAAGCGCAATTCTCAAACGCATGCACAAGGTAAGCCCAATACGACATAGCTTAGCCCAAGCTCAAGATTAAGTCCAAGTCTAAGTCCAAGACTAAACCCAGCACATGCACAAGCATAAGTCTAGGTCCAGTCCAAACTAAGACTAAGTCCAAGTCCAACTTTTATTAATGTTCACTTTATGAGACAATTTTCATTCACAACTCAGTGGTTCCAGCTCATTATTTTTGTATTGCAATCTTTTCACTTAAGAGAATAAAAAACCACTCAGACCTACCTCAATTGGTGATTAAATCCCATTTTAATTTCAAATTAAAATTGCTAAAAACCAATAATATTTTCCGACAATAACTACAAATAAACTTTAGCAAAGTTTATCTCAGAGCTATGTCCGGTCATTAACACCTACTAAGTCACCGCACCAACCTAAACAATTTGGCTAGATAACTATAAAATTATAAATTTTAAAAATTATTCAAAAAATAAATTAATAAATTATATTTATTAACAGTTTGAACAGTTTGATGTGATGCATTTCATAGACTTAGGCCAAGTTTGAAAAGACTAAATAAGTGTACTTTTTGACTTTTTATGAAATATGAGTTGAGTTTGAGTTGGGTTTAAAGTGATGCGTTAGAGAGGTGATGTGACTTAAATAAGATGATGTGACTTAAATAGGATAGTAACTTTTTAACTTTTTATCTTTTTTCAATCTTCCCAAACTAGACCTTATTTTCTTTGTCACACGACCCATACCACTTTGTGTTGTTGAGGTTACAAATTAAGCAGATTGGCAGATATCCACTTGCTGCTAAAACTTCCATTTTTCAACAACGTTTTTTGTATTCTCTAGAGAAAAAGTAATAAGGCTGACATGTGTGTGGTGTGGTGTGGTGTGGGTCATACATGTACCAATCTCATCACATGCCAACCCCCTCATTTGGGATATGGTGGTCACAAAATTAATTATATGATCTTTAATTTAGATTTTATTGATTAAAATAATAAAATTTAATTAGTATTTTTGTTGATTTTTTTAACTTTTGAGAGTTAGTATTATAATTTTAAGCGTGTCAGTAAAGATCAATCAGTCTTTACAAAAAATTAATTGCTAACCAATTATCAGACGATTGTATTTTAATTCTTTCAGCCTC